TGAGAAAGCAAATTGTCAGGACCAGGGCTTGAACTATGCTTGGCCATGTAGGAATCTAGCGCCCTTAACCACCATGCCACCTGCGGTCCCCTATTATTATTTTTTAATTTGACCAGAGAGAAAGAAAGGGAGAACTCAAGAAAGCAAGCTGCCAGGTCTGAGACTCGAACCACAGTTGGCCATGAGGTAGTCAAGTGCCCTGCCCCAACCACCACATCTGCCATCCCCTATATTTTACTTTTTTCTTCTACAATCCTTATTTTCTTCTGTAGGTGCTGAAAAAAATAGAATGCTTTTCAGGGTTGGCAGGTGGCCAGGGGCAGGTATTGTTTAGGGGCACTGGACTCCTCCATAGCTAACTGTAGTCCGAGTCCCGGACCTTGTGGCTTGCTTTTTCACTTTCCTTCTCTCTCTCACTATGGTCAAATTAAAGTAAATAAAGTTAAAATTAAAAAAAACTAAAAAAATAATGCTTTTCATAAAATGTTTGTAGTTCCTCTAAGTGAGTGTAATCAGTTGGATATTTTTATTTTTATGGCACTACTGTGTCCCATTTAGCTAATGACCAATATATCTTCTAAAAAACATGTATTTTGGCAGAATACACCAGCCCAAAATATGACATTTTAGTATAAGGATTATTTTGAGCTGAAGGCAGTTGGGTATAAGCAAATGAAAGAAAGCTATCTGCCCTCCCCTCTTTTCCTAAAAGCAAAATGTATATGTATAAAGTCTTCTCTTGGGACCAGCAGGTGTCGTGGTTAAGGCGCTGGACTCCCACAAGGCTGACCACGGTTTGAGTCCTGGACCTGGTAGCTTGCTTTCTCACTTTCTTTGGTGAGTGCATGTTCCCTACAATAAATTTAAGCAATCATAATTAATTAAAAAAAAATGTGTCCCCTCTCTATCAGAAAGATAAAAGTTAATTATTGGAGACTTCAGACCCTTAACAGCCTGAAGATGGCATCAGAGGACTCTACATGAGGAACTTTAGTAGATGCTATTTATCTTTCATTAGTTTCCTTATATGCAGCCCATAGAGACTTAGTGCTTTTTTCCTTTATCTTGTCATTTCTCCAAAAATTTGTTCCTTTGGCAAATCAGCCCACATCTAATTTTTTTTTTTAATTACTAAAGGGTGCTTTTATAAAAAATGTTCTAAAAGTTATTTCATTTGACTTTATTTACTTATTTATTTTAATTTGCCCAGAGAGGGACAGAAAGAGAGAGAGAAGGAAATAGAGAAAGCAAGCTGCCATCTCCGGAACTCAAACAGCTGTTGGCCATGTGGGAGTCCAGCGCCCTTAACCACCACGACACCTGCTGGACTCTTTTATAAAAAATTTTTAAAAATAATTATTTATTTGATTTAATTTATTGTTGTTATTTTTTAATATGAAGTGGAGGCAGAGAGAAAGTGAGAAGGCAAATTGCCAGGTCCAGGACTTGAACTACCTTCAGTCATGTGGAAGTTCACCGCCCCTACCCCCATGCCACCTACCAGCCCTCAGAGGGTGGGTTTTTGTTTTTGTTTTAGGAGAGATTTTTGCTATAGGGTATGTGTGCTTGCCGGAGAGACAGAGAGAGAGCAAGAAATCTTGGGAACTAACAGTTAGCGTAATGGCTATGTTGCTGGACTCCCACGTAGTCGACCACGGTTCGTGTCCCGGACCTGGCGGCTTAAAACTCACGCCGGGCGCGTGTGCGTGCGTTCCCAAGATCCCGAGAGGAGAATGGAGGAGAAGAGATTGCGGTGTGACCGTCCCCCCTGGGGGGTGATTTCTCGCTTTCTGTCTCTATGTCTCTGTCTGGCAAGTGCGCGTGCCCTATAGCGAAAACCTCTCAAAAAAAAAAGAAAGAAAGAAAGAAATCAGCCCCTGGAGCGATGGCTATGTTGCAATCCCTTCTCCGTTCTCCTTTTGGGATTTTGGGGATGTATGCACACATGGTTCGTGGTGTGTTTTAAGCTGCTGGGTCTGTGACACAGTTGATATGTGGGAACCCAGTGATGTAGCCATTACGCCATCTACTGGTCCCCAGAGGGTGCTTTTTAATCACCAGAGAGAGGGAGGGACGGAAAGAGAAAATATACCTCCCCAGTGGGACATGGTCACATTGTAATCCCTCTCCTTAGTTTCTGTACCCTGTTGGGAATTTTGGACACACATACACAGGTGCCCAGTGTATTTTTCAAGTCGCCAGTCCAGGACTTGAACTGTGGTGTTGGCCATGTGGGATTCATCTGCTTTAACCACTAGGCTACATACCTAACCCCAAACTGTTCCTTAGTCTAAGAGAGATTTTATATTGTTTTTACTTAAATATCCAATTATACTACAGCATTCGGGTGAATAAAAAAAATGCTTTGTTTGAACATTTTTCCCTGTAATTTGTAGTCCTACAAAAACAAGAAAGATAAACTTCCATTATGTTATTTATATTTAACAAGCCAATAATTAGAAATTTGAAAAGTATACGCATAGGCCCAGCCCAGGCATTGCAGTCTATATCATACTGGACCATAATGCAGGTGGTCTCATGGCCATCTGTGTCTTTGAATCAGCCTAAACAGGCACTGGTTATGGGAGACTAGGATCCTGAGGAGCAGAATGTCTAGGAAAAGGGGATTGCAGTGTGATGGGAACCTATCAATGATTTTTTTCTCTCTTTTCCTCAGATTTACGTGGCACTTGCCAGAGAGAGACAGGGAAAAGTGAGAAAACATCCCCACAATGGGGAGTGGTCATGTCACAATCCTGTCTCCATTTCTTCTTTCAGGATCTTGGGCACGTATGCACACACACTGACGTGTTTCTCAAGCCACCTTATCTGGGACTCAAACCACACAGTTGGCTATGTGGGATCCAACCACCTTAACCAGCACTGTATCAGCTGGCCCCATTCTCTTTCTTTCTTTTTTTTTTTTTGTTTTTAAAGAATCATTTCATTTAACTTTATTTATTTATTTGTTTACTTTTAATTTGACCAGAGATGGACATAGAGAGTGAGAGAGGGAAAGTGAGAAAGCAAGCTGCCAAGTCCAGGACATGAACCATGGTTGGCCATGTGGGAGTTCAGCACCTTTAACCACCACGCCACCTGCTGGTCCCT